GCACATCCTAAGAAACCTGGTGAACCCTGATGACGCTTATGCCTCAGAGGAGTCTCCACACACTGGCAAGCAGGTCAGCCAGATCTGCAGGAAGAGCCTGGCATGTCTGATGCTCCACTCAAAACAAGAGTGAGGGTATAATAAGACTATCCCTCGGCAACACCTCTAGGCCTGAGCACAGATGTGTCGTAAGACCAAATGAATGAACAGAACACACTTAGGTTTTAGGGAAGACACCAGAAAAAGCAGCAATTTGTCAGACAGAAAGGGTACAGAAAGAATGTGCAGGGTGAGACCAAAAATGAGGTTGCTTCCTCAATAACTTGGGCAAAAGATTAGCTACATCCAGTATAAGCTACAGAACATGCAGAGAAGCACATTGGTAGAAAAGGCAATCTATAAATGTTTGCTTGCGGAGCAAATCGCAAACTCAAGCTGTGGACATTTGAATATATACATATATACTCAACATATAAAGTGTGGGCTGAAATATGTCCGTGTCTATGCAGATCTGACAGCTATACATTTGGGAGGTGTATCGTATTAGAGTTCCTAAGGAAAATGAATGCTACTGCTGTTGAGGATGCAATTTTCTGACACGGTGAGAAGCTTTAGTAAAATTTGGAACAAAACAGTATCATCTTTCTTCCAGTTGCTTTCTTGGAAAGTTCAGTGTATTAAAATACAAAGCATGTCGTATGTATTGATAACTGACATTCTGCAGTTAATACTAGTTCCCATTTACCGGGCATGAAGGCACATACCAAGAATCTCAGCAATTAATTGACTAAGGCACTTTGATTGTGAGTTTGAGGACAGCCGGGGTTACAGAGTAAGTTCAAGGTCTACATGGGCTACATAGGACATGTATTTCATTAGATAGCTCAGTGATAGAGCACTTGCCTATTGTGTACAAGGCCCCTTAGTTCCCAGTACTGGAAAAAAAAAGGAATTCCTCATTTTTCTATACATTAGACTATAATTCGGTAGGTCTCAACTTACCCATTACATTCTTAGCCTTTCCTCTCTACCTTCCTCGGGTTCATTTGTCATTTGTATGACCAAATATGCTTTCTTGACAGAATTATTGACTCCCAGGGGTACATGTTTAGTGTCAATCTCTCCACTACACTGGAGGCCCCATAAAGCCTGATGACTTTCTTTGAGGCATCAATGTATAGCAAAGACTGGCACAGAGTTAAACAAAAAAGATAATATATGTTCATTAAAGAATGAATGAGATTGCATGTTTCACTAAATGTGATTTCATACGTCAGGTAAAATGGAGTCTACAAAGATTACTGCCTTCCCTTCCTTCCTTCCTTCCTTCCTTCCTTCCTTCCTTCCTTCCTTCCTTCCTTCCCTTTCTTTTGACCCAGGCTTTCTTCTAGTCCAAGTGGCCTTGAATTTGCTGTGTAGTCAAGGATGATCTGATTTATGTAGACAATGATGATCTGACCCTCCTTTGCTCTCCTTTCTCTTCCCCAGTGCTGGGATTACAGCTGGGCATCACCACTTCCAGTTTTATATGGCGTTAGGGATCAAAGCCAAGGCTACCTGAATGCTAGGCAAGCAGTCTATGGACTGCCACATGCTGAACCATCCTTTTAGTATTGCTTTGTAGCTGGTAGTAATGGGTGAGTCATCCCTGTTTTCCACTCACTAGGTATTGAAATGGAGATCAGTGTGTCAAACAGGGGTCGATTTTGACTAAAGATTAAAGCCATTCATTCTTGGGTCTCGACCAACAAGTTTGCTGACAGTCACAACAAATAGGTCATTGCTTTTGATCAGAAAAGAACCAACTAAGTCTTTAAGAATCGCACAATAGAGAGCTGGGGCGATGACTCACAGGTTAAGAGCAACTGGATGCTCTTCGAGAGGACCTGGGTTCTGTTCCCGACACAGACATGGCAGTTCACAACTGCCTGTAGCTCCAGTTCCAGGGAATCCAACACTTTCACACAGACATGCATGCAGGCAAAATACCAAAGCATATAAATAAAAATATATATCATTAAAAAAATAGAACTTAACTGTGCCACTGCTTATCACAGAAGAGTAGGTCAAGCTCTGATCAAGTAAACAACAGAGATTTTTAGACAAAGTCACTTGAACAGAGTCTTCCACGCATTCTTTTTCTCGAACTTCACTGTCCTAGTTTCCCTCAGAAAGCAACTGAGTAGCCACTGTTGCAACTCATGGCATATTATAAAAAGATTTATTTTAGCTCTCTTCTCAGCAAAGCCAATAAGGGAATCCAGGAGCCTCTATATGAATCACTGGGCTACTAAGGATGCCAAATAGAGTCCCATATTTTTTACCTAGTTAAACACAAATTATCATTGAGTAGCCTGGAGTACATAAACACAAAATGCTTTTGGAAGTCATTTCCCAGTGAATGGAAATTAGCTATGGAGTTTCAAAGCTCTGGAGCACATCGTTGGTATTAATGCCAGTACATCTCCTTTGGAGAGTTTTATTTTATTATATTTTATGTTTTGGAAAGGGTGCCAGTACAACCTCATTGAGACAGTTCACATGAGCCCCATTCTATTGCTGCAAAAGACAAGGAAAATGGTGCTACAGCCCTTCTGTAAAGAACAAGGCTCACCTCAAACACCAGGCCCAATCTGTGAGGGGTTGTCTTTTTCTTTGATAAAAATCTTTGCAAGGCAACTCAGGACTTAGCAGTTTAAATGCCCCCTTCCACTCTGAAGGAAACCCTACTAGCCAATCCCCAAACAGTCCTTCCATTTCTGTTTCCATATCAATATGCTATCTGGAAAGGAAACATCGATATATACAAGAGCTACTAGTTAATCCTGACAGGCAGAAGCATCTATATACAGTGGTAGAGGCTGATTTCTGAACAACGAGCTTGAATTTTCAATGGGAACTTGCCAATCTGTTCCCATTTACTGAAGTCTATCCGGAATTAGCTGTCTTTTCTAAATTACTTCTATCAAAGTATAACCATGTTTGACTTGTAATTAGAAAAAACAAGATTCAGGGTTTACAGAGAGAAATTTTGTTTTCTTCTTGGATGCTGATCTACTTACAATACAGCCAACCAAAGACCCTTCAAAACAACTGCAAACAAACATTTATTGGGGTCTGGGAATCTTTCATTACAAATTTAGTCTGGCCAACTATGGGTCTTCATAGGCGCCAGGCTCTGTTGTGCAGGGCCATCCATGGTAATAGCAGAACATGTTAAATGCATTTATACTGCTGATTAAATATAATTTAAACGTAGCTGAGGAAAATTGTGTTGAATTGTACAAGCCTAGTTATATCTACTACATAGTATTTTCCCATTTTCTTTTATTTTGGAACCAATAATTTTTTGTTTTGTTTTAGGTTCCCAACATTTTGTTGAGTCTACAGAGGCTGAAAACAGGCCCACAAATTAGTTCTTGTGTTATTCCTTTTGCCCTCACATAAGCTGTCAACTGAGATCATTCAACCCCTGAACTCTGATTCCTTAGTTCATCAGAAAGAACCATATCTACATATCTCCACTGTGTCAGCAATTGGTCTGACACCATGAGAAGAACTGATTTCCTAGGAACATAAAGTCACCGCTTTTAATGTCAACTTGGGCAGTGACTCCCTGTCCCCACCCAGTAAAAAACATATAGGGGAAACCGTAAAAGTATGGTTCCCGTTCTATGGTGCTTTGACATTTTGTTTCCTCTAATCACAGCTTAATGCTCTAATCCCCCCAAAGAGAGAATTTTAAGGGTTACTTAAGCCCGGAGCTGTTTAGAAAGCTGAGTGGAGTTTGACGCTCTGGTTTCTCTGCTCCAGTTCTGCTTGGTTTTGCAAGAATTCCGGTGTGATGACTACACATCCAGCTCTTCCCTCAGATAATCAAACCAACATAATTTCTTTGGCTAAAAGGCATTGCCTCATCAAGTCTGTGTTTCCAGACAAACCCCAAGCTTCGGCTGGACTTCCCCTTAATCTTCGGGGATAATAGATTCCAGGCGCTTTTACAAACCAGCTCTTCACAACGATGCGACCCACTCAAGCCTCGGATGGCTCAAAGTCACAGGCCTGACATTTTCTGTAGCAGACAACCTGGTTTACTGAAGGAAATAAATTATCTGCACCTAAGGTGCACGTTTATTTAAAATTCCAGGAATAAAGCTGTAACCCACGATTCTGGGAGCAAAGAACCCCTTGGCAATAAGCTGGTCTACAGTTACAGCATCATAATGAGCCCGAATCCACGGGATGGATGATAGTAACACTGCACTTAAGCTTTAGCCCAGTGGCGGCTGGAGGCCTCATTTTGCGAAAGAAAGAGGAGGATGGAGAGAAAAGTGGGTCGGAATCTCACGCCCTACTTTTAAGCCCTTTTAATACATACTGGGAAAAGAGACAGATCATCACACAAAAAAGGTAGAAAGAAAATCTTAATATGGGGGTTGGGGAAGAGTTCAGGGGCGGAGTCTGGAAGCTGGGGATAAGCAGCACTCTATCATTCGTTCATCCATCCATCCATTCATTCATCACATTCACCTACTAGGCTCCCAGCCCAGTTGGCTTCACTGGACCCTAAGATGAAGCTTTAAACCTTTTCCAAGGACGATGGGCCATATTTTCCTGGGGATGCTCCGCCAACCAGAGCCACCTTCGCCAATGAGAAAGCAGGGCAGTCTGAACCCCCAGAGCCCGGCCGGGTCCCCCAGACTGTGGGACCCCGGAGGAGGGGCCGGGAGGTCTGGCATTGAGCCCGAGGCCCGCCCGCTCCGCCCTGCTCCGCCCCGCGGGTCCTGCCAGCTCGGCCCGGCCGGCGTCGCCCCCGCCTTACCAGGGTTTTGGCTACGTTTCCCCTCTGGGTGATGTTTTTGCTGTGCTTCTCGTTAGCCATCCGGATCCGCTGTTTGGCCACCATGGCTTGGGCGCCTGGAGATGCTCTCGACTCCCACCTGCAAGGAGGGCCGGGGTGAGCCGCTGCCGCAGGTCCCCGCGGCCTGCCCGGGCGCTGCAGGTGGCAAGGCGCGGCCGAGCCCCGCACACCCCGCTCCCCGAGCCCCAGCCAGCCGGCTCCAGAGAGAGGCCAGCGCGCGGACGGAAGTAATCTCTCATCTCAGGAAACCCTCTCCGACTTCCTCGCCATCCTTCCGGTCCCCCCAGCTACCTACCCTGCGCGGCCACCGAGGCAGGAGGCGGGAAGCGGGAGGCGGGCGCTGCTACAGCGCAACGCGCCGAGCCAAGGGGACCCTAGCCCAGGGTGTCTCGGTCCTGAGATCGAACGCTGCGGGGCACAGGGTTCGGGCGACCCCGCGTTTGTGCGTACGTGGGGGGTGGGGACGCAGCCATACCCGGCCTGGCGATCCCCGACTGTGTGACTTGGCCTCCTCGGCTCGGGCAGGGATTGGGGCGCTGGTGAAGGCTAGACCCTAGGGCACCGAGACCTGAGCCTTATAAGGCAAGCTGAACCTGTCCGGGTTTGGATAGTACTGTTGGGGGACAGTCCAAAGAACCTGCCCTTCAGCTGTCTGAGGGAATCCTACTGTGGGACCTTCTACAGGGCTGTGCGAAGAGACCCATTGTGACATCGGAAGAGGAGCCATGAGCCTACCTCCAGGCCCTGACAAATGTGGACCAGGCATCTTGAGGATGGAGTTGGACCAGGCCTTCTCGCCTTGGTCGTTACACTGGAAGACTGCCCGCGAAACAGCTGAGTGGCCCATAGAGGATGAAGCGGTAGTAAGCCTACAGCATAGGCAGATTTGGTGGTCACTGCCCTTAGCGAAAGCGTTGACCAGGCTTGAACCCCCACTTCAAGCCCCCATCCCCCCCACTACCATCGTGGACCTTCTCCAGCCACCCTTGTTCCAGGAGATGCTGAGTATGGATTCTCGGACCGTATTGGGAGTTTTCTTGCACTAAAGGGACAAAAGCAGCGCTTGAATCTCCCGATGCTGATACTGAGCTGTAGATAGGGGAGGAGGGGCCTTAATCGCTCATCTTTCCACACCGAATGTGCTGGAGTTGGCTCTTTGGAGCTCCAGAGGCGGAAAGGAGGAAACAAAGGAAGATTTGGGGAAGTGGGAAGTGGTAATACAGGGTTGGGGCGATGTGAGTAGCACCCCAGGGTGCAGAAGGAGAGCTCTGTAGACCAGATTTGACTGGCGCAACTCGGGTCTTACCTTGCAGGCACTGGAGGCTGAGTTTCCATAGGCTCTGGTAGGAGCAGAGTTTCCTCCGTGGGCAGGAAGTTAGGAAGAGCTTTTTTGTTGATGCCTTTCTATCAACTGGTTACCCGGACCACTGGTTTTTATTGAGGGGACATGGGCATCTCTACCTCTTAGGTGCCACCTGCTGAGTTTGGCTGTTGCAGGAGACCTAAAGGTGCTTCTACCCGAGTCCAGTTACTTTGGTAATTGGGCAGGAATCTGGACAAATTCTCACCAAAAGCTGATCAGAGGCCAGGCTCGAGGGGACATTCAGGGTAGTGAGCTTAGATAGGCAGTTTCCGCTCTGGGACGTCAAGAAGAGTGTTCTTAGCTCTAAGAAGGCGACCTTATTGAGGAAGACTTTATATTTCTTGTTCTTTGTTTTCTGCTTGTTAGGGATCAATTTTATTCCTTTAATTTTTATTTTACAGGCATTTTCAATGAGTTTTAATTATAGAGGGCATGCTCACAGTAAACAGTCCAATGAGAAATAAGTCCTCCATTTCTCCATTCCTAAGTTTCCATCTTAGTACTCTATTATTCATCTCTCTGTCATCTATCACCAGCCTTCCTACTTGTAAGGTCCCTTGTGGTCATACCTTGCTATACAAATAAAGCCTGTCTGAGAGTCAGGGAATGGAGCTTGCCACTAGGTAACCATAGAAGTCTGGAGGTGTGTACAGACAGGAAGTGAGGTGGCTGGGCAGAAACAGGATATAAGGGAGAAACAGGAAGGCGCACACTGGTCGGCTGAGACGCTAAGGTGTGCTGTGGCGTGCTGTGGCTTGCTCCTTCTCTCTGATCTCTCAGCATTTCCCTCTATATCTGACTCTGGCTTTTTATTACCTAGGCCAATTAAGAACTCCATTTACAGTCCCTTCAAAAATTCAAATGGGAATCTTTAGTTTAAGGCTAGCCTGAGCTATACATGAAGACCCTGCTTTAAAAAGAAAGCAAAACCACCAAGACAAATGGAATCATGCTCTCTGTCACCTTCTGTCTCCACACTTAAAGTATCAAAAGCACTGTTGCAACTTGATGCACTATTTTTGTACTTCCCCCTCAATATGAACACATAGTAATATATCGAACAATGCCACTGGTAGGTTATTGTCAACACCCTTCATTAAAGGCTTTACTGATTGGTTAAGCAGCACTCAATATAGCATCCCTGTGTATGTACTCTTGTGTACCTTTGCAGGTCTATCTGTGCGATATTGCAGAGTATATCATTGTTCTAACGGACTTCCTAACAAGTGTCTCCAACCTTGGAATCTCTGCCGTGATTAGAATGCCTTTTGTCTGCTGACAAGTACCCTGAGGTTGCTGGGGTCCTAGGCAGCATGTAGATGGAGAATGGTCTCTAAGAAGGCCAGAGCATGATTAGTTGGGACTTTTGGCCCTGTTTCCAACCTCCAGGGAAGGAAAAGGGGCCCAACGTTGAGTTGATTACCAATAACCAATGATGCAATTGACCACATCAATATAATAAAGCATTTATAGAATCCCAAAAGGATTTCATTGAGTGAGTCACTGGGTTGCAGAGCACAAGGAGGTGTGAACATTCTGGGTTACCACCTTATCGTGAGCTACATTCCTCTCCCATCTGACTGTTCACCTGCACTTTGTAAAGCCATTATAATAAGTGCTCAGTGTCATGCCCCCCCCCCAGCTCTGAACCATTCCAGCACATTGTGTGGACTAGTTACTCTTCTCATACTACAACAAGATGCCTGACAAAAACAACTTAAGAAGGGTTTGTCTGGGCTCTGTCAAGGTGGTTTCTTCTCTGAGGTGATTTGAAAGAAAATGGCCCCCAAAGAGAGACACTGTTAGGAGGTGTGGCCTTGTTGGAGGAAGTGCATCACTGTGGGGGTGGGCTTTGAGGTATCTTTTCTCTCAAGCTTCACTCAGTGTGACAGTTGACTTCCTGTTGCCTGAAGATGTAGTGCTCTCAGCTTCAGTGGTACATCTGTCTGCACACTGCCATGCTCCCCTTCATGGTCATAATAGACCAAACCTCTGAAACTGTAAGCAAGTTCATCTTCAATTAAACGTTTTCTTCATAGGAGTTGACACGGTCATGTGTCTCTTCACAGCTAGAATAAATCCTCTTCATATAGTCTGGAACTATAGCCCATGGAATGGTGCTGCCCACAATTAGGGTAGACTTTACCACTTCAACTAACCTAATCTAGAAACTCTCAAACAGACATGTCCAGAGGTTTGTCTTCTAGATAATTCTAGAGCCTGTCAAGTTCACAATCAAATTAACCATCACATTAGTCAAACTCCACGAGGGAATCATGGGAAACTCAATTTGTAGCCAGTTGGTTAGATATAAAGACTGTACTGATTGTGACTGGCATCTGAAGCAAGGTTTGTGGTCCGAGGCCTTAACCTGTGGGATTGAATGCTACTTTCAGGTCTATGGCATTGGCATCAGACCTGAAATGAGTTAGAGGACACTCTGCTGGGGTCCTCTCCAGCGTTGTCTTGCTTGTGTAGAAGCATCCCCCTCTCATTTGTCAGAGGTTCTGCTGACTCTGAAAGAGAAGAGAAAGCATGCTGGCCTTTCTTCTATGACTACACTTCAGAATTAGGTTCCTGGAAGTAAACTTAGATACGATTTCTGCCTGTAGAGCTCCTGGTATTGTTTGTGGAATGAGAAAATGTCCTGCTGTGACTTTGACTGCCTTTGTCCTCTTGAGTCAGGCCAGCACCTGACTGATCTCATCTCTACTTATTGCCCTAGGAGCATCTTTATGGACCACAGAAAGCTTTCCTCTTGTTTCATGGATGCTTTTCTTCCTCTACTCAGCATCCAGCCCCCCCCCCCCCAGCCAGAAGCTGTGCTGGCTACATCACCGAGGTGCTCTGTTCGGTCTGGAGTCAAATCCCAGCAAATCTGTAGGAACAAATTGGCCAAGAAGGGGCCAAGTGTGGCATTGTCTTGCACATTTGATGGGGGAGGAGGTTGATAGAGCTGAGCTTCCTGGATTTATCTGTGCTGTCATCAGGAACATTGAGGAGTGCCAGTAGCATGCTGTGTTCAACCACAACCTCTAAAACATCATGGGTATTTACGTTTTAATTTTGGCTGGTAATTTTTCCAGCCTTTACATAATAATTCCTACCAAGCCAAGGTACATTAATCTGAAGTCTGGCCCATTGGATTTATGAGACTGGGTTTTACTCCCTTTGAAAGAAATGATACATCATCAAAGTTCTCAGAGGTTTCTCTGTGGGGCTGTGATGTCGTGGATGCCTGACATTTTTCCTATAACGGCATGTGCAAACCTCCCCCGATATGTGAATCTTGAGATATTCCCTCCTACTGTGGAGCATAAGGGAGCATATTTGATCTCTCAATCCCTGACAGCTAGAGATAGTTAATCAGATGTTCCTATTTGAAACTTCAATTCTTGATCTGATGGCAAAAAAAAAGGGACATTTTAAGTTTCATCCTGGTGCCAGAGTCTCCAGAGGCAAGGGCTTCTAGCAGCTGTGGTGATGAATCCAGCAAAAGGCTTTTTCTCTGCTCCCTGAAGTCATCACTATCAGTTCCCCATCCGCTTCTATTGCCCAGAGACAAGAACTCTGATACACATGAGTGGTGGTTTGAAAGAAAATGGCCCCCAAAGGGAGTGGCACTCTTAGGATGTGTGACTTCATTGGAATAGGTATGCCTTTTGTTGGAGGAAGTGTGTCACTGTGGAGGTGGCCTGAGAGGTCTCATATATTCCCAGCGTGAATACACAGACCATTTTCCTGTTGCCTTCTGATCAAGATGTAGCCAGCACCATGTCTGCCTGTGTACCACCATGCTTCCTACCATGATGATAATGGACTAAACCTCCGAACTGTAAGCCAGCCCAAGTTAAATGTTTTCCTTTGTAAGAGTTACCATGGTCATGGTGTCTCTTCACAGAAATAGAAACCCTAACTAAGACAACATGGAAACAAACACACCCATCTACCCAGAACGTTGGAATGTTCTATTCCACATCTGGGAAGACTGGTAGGTATAGCATCAGTCACTGATCATAAATGGCCTTTCTTCAGCTTGTCCCTTAAAGGGGAACTGAGGATAGAGTTCATGGAGGCAGTGTTTTAAGTGGCCAGCATGGTTGGATGTGGTTAAAAAGCATATCTTGCTCAGGTAAAACTAGTACATCACTGGTATTTCAGTCATCTTCTTCTACACTCAAACCAATTCTGCCAGAGAAGAGTAAAATCCCAAGGGAAACCCCAAGGCATCCCCCTATAATGTTCTACACTTAGGGAGTGTTTGTGTCGATACGTCAGTGGTAGGTAAAGAAACATAGCATCCAATTTTCTAGATGATGGCTCTGTGGACTCATGCTACACTGAAGTAGGAAACTTGAACTATTGCGTGTTAGACACCATTTAAGTATGAAAACCCAAATGCTAATAGAATTTTTGCTTTAGGGAGCTCTCAGCTGGCAGGACAACTATTGTGAGATTGGTCTACTTTCACAAGTGAGCAGCAGCCTTGGCATTGCAGAGGGAACTGTAGCAGAATTCAGAGCAGGACTAAAGTCTCTAGACCCACCTCCATTTTGGCAAACAAAACAGTTACCAGGTAAATGAGTGGGAGGCAGGGTTGGTCAAATTCTTAAGAGACTGAACTTTGGAGCAACTTGCATATGCATGAGAGTAAATTGCACACAAGTGTGCACACACATGCACACTGCATAGCAGAGATAAGCTTCATTGCAGGGGAATGTCAGTCCTCAAATGATGGCTAGAGACAGAATTGAACTGCTCTGATGGCTGTGTGAGTCCTTGACCCTAGAGGTGATCTGATTAAACTTTAAAATAGGAGATGTGGTTACCCAGCTCAAGTCTGTAATTGCCTGGCCACATCTGTTACTAATAACAGTAAAGCCGTTGTATCCCGAAGGGAATGAAAACATCCCACTGAAGCCCTTTCCCTGGTGACCTCCCCTGGTAGCACACTGGTGACTGAAGACAGGAGATGTGATAGGAGCTGTCACATGTCCAAGCTCAAATGTGGCCAGGCCCCCGCTGAAACTTTATTTCTTAACTCATCTTGTTTCCATTCAACCAGGTAGATACTCGTAGTGACTGAAAGAGTTCCCTAGAGGGAAAGACATGACATTGGTCATCAGAACCAAAGCATTTCCTAAAAGGGACAAACCTGAAATTTCATCTGTTCTTTCTTGTTACTGTCATAACCCTGTAAGCACGTGGGTCCTGAAAGCAGCCAATCCTGGCTACTCTGCTTAGTTACTTTTATAATGGAAGTCTCTTTCTTCATCTGTAAAATGGGTATGATTGCAATGATACTCCTTAGATTAATATGTATTTAATTTGTGTTTTGTTTTTTCATTTAACAGTTAATGTACAGCCATATAATTTCATCTGGATAGTGCCAGATGAGGGCGGGGTCTGAAGATGGGTAGCAATAGGAGGGATCAGACACAGGACACTTTTTAGTTTCATTTTAGGAGCGATGGACATCCCCTGCTGGATAGATTTCATTCTTTAAAAATGACTGCATGGGGGACTGGCAAAATTGCTCAGTGGGTAAAAGTGCTTGACACCAAGCCTGATGATGTTGAGTTTGATCCCTGGTATTCAGGTTGCAGAAGGAGAGAATTGACTGCCACAAGTTGATATCTGATCTCTAGAGGTGTGACACACACACACACACACACACATTCACTCACAAAATAATAAATATAATCTTTGAAAATGGTTGCAAAGCATCACTTTGTATTCAGATATCATAATGGATTAAACCAATCCTCTACTGGTCACTATTTAGGTTGTTTCTTTTTTTTTTCTACCACAAACCAACAATAGCTTCTTGCAGTGTGTTGTAGACAAGCATGAATATATCTATTGGAGAATTTTCTGGAAGAGTAATTCATAGGTTATACTCATAGTATAAAGGACAGTGTCCTTCTGAGATGTGGCATTAATTTATAACCCTGTATAACATGCATGAGCTCAGACTGTTTTGTCCACATTTAGGCGATACTGGGTAAGCATCCTTGATTGTTGTTATATTTTCTCTCCCTTTATAAAGTTTACATGTTAGATTGAGTGCTGTGTTTATGAGATCGAAGCCACATTTGTTGACATATCTTAAAAGTATATCTTTGTATGGTTTGTGAATTACGTAAAAGCAAAGGAGAAAACAGATCTGTGGTGAGTGAAACTGCGAAGATACAGCCATGACTGTTCACCAAGTGCCTCAGAGACTAGCATGATGACACAAGGCTTGAAAAGAGTTGAGAGAGTCATGCATTAATTACGTGAACTGTCCATTCAGTGGTTGATATGGTTTATATTTCATTCATTCAGAACACAGGTCAACACGTGCTGGAAACACAGCACAGGTTCATACACCAGGCATCAAGCACAGATGTAAGGCCCCTCTTGAATGGTTTTTGTGTTTACTCTGCATATAAATGGAAAAAATTATCATTTTAAAACACATTAACATGTAGGCTTTATCCA